ATTTGGAAGTTTTTGTTATGACATTCGACTAATATTTACTTCATGCCAATAATCAATACCTTTAAGAATTAAAGTTAAACAATCAATTCGTATAGCTACCATAGCTAATGCTCTACTTATAGCCAAATCTCAACAAGAAACAATTTAGACTATAATTAAAGCTGGGCACAGTGGCTAACACCTGTAATCCTAGCACTCTGGGAGGCTGAGGCGGGAGGATTGCTTGAAGCTAGGAATTCAAGACCAGCCGGAGCAAGAGCAAGAGCAAGACCCTGTCTCTACAAAAAATAGAAAAATTAGCCAGGTGTGGTGGCATGCGCCTGTAGTTCCAGCTACTCAGGAGGATGAGGTGGCAAGATTGCTTGAGCCCAGGAGTTTGAGGTTGCAGTGAGCTATTATGATGCCACTGCACTCTAGCCCAGGCAACAGAGGGAGATCCTGTCTCAATTTAAAAAAAAACTACAATTAAAATGTATAGTGACATTTTTTATAATAAAAGATGCAGAATATATGAGTTGCCACTAACGAAATATTAATAGTTTCTTACCATTGGAGAAGGAAAAGCAATTTACCAAATTTTTGGAAATGGCTAGAAAGAAATCCACAGTATTAAAGTAATACATCAAACACAGAAGTTTTCATGAAACCATCTTAGCCAAGGAAAAAGCAAAGATAACATCAAGCTGTATTTTCAATGTATAAGTTACTTGTATAATGCTCTAAAGGCAAGAGTTAGCAAACTATGGCCCTGGACCAAATTCAGCCCACTAGCTATCTGTATAAATGAAGTTTTATTAGAATACATCCACATTCATTCATTTATGTATTGTCGATGGCTGCTCTTACACTACAATGGCAGAGTTGAGTAGATGCAACAAAGACCATATGGCCCACAAAGACTAAAATATTTACTATTTGGCCCTTTATAGAAAAAGTCTGACAACTCCTGGTCTTAAGTTATTAGAAAAGGAAGCATTTTTTAACACTGTCTTTAAAAAATGCTTACACTAAAGAAAATAAATTATACATAAAATCCATGATTTATATCAGTATCCTATTTTTTCTCATTTCTTTGGTGTTACTTCTGATTAACTGTTTTCGCTCAAACCCATTCCTCTCCCCAGTCTGCCCTCACCAC